AGACGGGGTTTCACCATGTTGACCAGGATGGTCTCGATCTCTTGACCTCGTGATCCACCCGCCTCGGCCTCCCAAAGTGCTGGGATTACAGGCTTGAGCCACCGCGCCCGGCCTACTGAAACATTTTTGTAAGACGTTTTTGGAATGAGGTTAAACATTTATATAAATTGATTATTCCTGTTCATTTTTTGAAACATGCCTAATATATTTTAGGGCCAGACACCCTTTAATGGCCAGGTAAGCCATAGTTAACATTTAGAGAACCATTTAGAAGTGATAGAACTAATGGAATTTGCAGTGTCTTTTAAACAAAACTCCCAAATTCTTTATTGAACTATACTTAAAAAAATTATAGGTTTGAAGAGTTTTTGTTTTTCTTTTACTTTTAGAAAACTACTTCCCATTTTGACAGGAAGTTAACCTATTTAACAATTAGAGTTAGCATTTCATGTAGTCTGAAATTCTAAATAGTTCTCTGATTTGAGGGAGGTTAAACATCAAATAGGTTTCCTCTATTTATTGGCCACAGCATGTGTAAAATGTGTGTTAAGGAGGAATTACAAAGTACTTTGAATTGAATGCTAGTAGAAACTGGCCAGGAAAAAGGTACATTTTTCTAAAAATTAATGGATCACTTGGGAATTACTGACTTGACTAGAAGTATCAAAGGATATTTGCATGTGAATGTGGGTTATGTTCTTCTTTCCCACCTTGTAGCATATCTGATGAAAGTTGAGTTAACTGATAGTTAAAATCTGTTTTAACAGCATGTAAAAGGTGATTTTATCTATTAAAAGTGATTAAACAATTTTGAATGTTATATAGTTTCTTTTTAACAGTTTAGGTAATAAGGTTTGTTTTCATTCTGGTGCTTTTATTAATTTTGATAGTATGATGTTACTTACTACTGAACTGTAAGCTAGAGTGTACACTAGAATGTAAGCTCCATGAGAGCAGGTACCTTGTCTGTCTTCACTGCTGTATCTGTTCCCAACGCCTGATGACAGTGCCTGGCACTTAGTAGGCACTCAATAAATACTTGTTGAGTGAAAATAAATAAATAAATAAAATAACCAGGCATGGTGGCTGGTGTGTGCCTGTAGTCCCAGCTGCTCGGGAGGATCAGTGGAGCCCAGGAGGTTGAGGCTGCAGGGAGCCGTGATCATGCCACCACATTCTAACCTGGGCAAAAGCGTGCGATACTGTCTCAAAAATAATAATAATAATTGTAAACATGTGATTGAGACACTGTGTATTACTTTCCATTATTGCAAATCTGTTTCTGTCTTGTGTCCCCAGCTAGATCCAAGTACCTTGAGAATAGGGACTATACCTTATAAAACACAGAAGTGTTTTGCAGGTAAAAATTTGAGTGAATGAATACACCACAACCAAGGAGAATTTTGTTTGGAGCATCTTGTTGGGGAGGGTAATCTGGGAAATCTGGATCTATTATTTTTTAAATTTTTATTGTTTATTTCTGTTTGAGACAGGTCTTGCTCTGTCACCCAGGCTAGAGTGTAGTGACATAGTCATAGTTCACTGCAGCCTCCACCTCCCAAGATCAAGTATTCCGCTACCTTAGCCACCCAAGTAACTAGGATTACAGGCACATGCCACCACACCCAGATAATTTTTATATTTTTTGTAGAGAGAAGGTTTTGCTGTGTTGTCCAGGCTGATCTATCTTCCTGCCTCAGCCTTCCAAAATGCTGGGATTACAGGCTTGAGCCACCATGCCTGGCTGGATTTTNAAAAAAAAAAATAAAGGAGAAGGAGGCAGCCTCCCGACCATAAAAGCTGATTTCTTGTTTTTTGTTTGTTTGTTTTTTGGGTTTTTTTTTTGAGATAGGGTCTTGCTCTGTTGCCCAGGCTTGAGTGCATCGTCGTGATCTCGACTCACAGCAACCTCCGCCTCCTGGGTTCAAGCAACTCTCCTGCCTCACTCTCCCGAGTAGTTGGGATTATAGGCTGTGCCACCACGCCTGGCTAATGTTTTGTATTTTTAGTAAAGATGGGGTTTCACCATGTTGCCCAGGCTGGTTTCAAAGTCCTGAGCTCAGGTGACCTACCCACCTTGCCCTCCCAAAGTACTGGAATTACAGGCGTAAGCCACTGTGCCCTGCTGGATCTATTCTTTTCAAACAAATGAAATGTTGACTTTGTTGGTACAATGCTGAACTCCTATAGTAACTCAGATGGGTATCTGCGTAGATACAGGGGTTTTTGTTTTGTTTTCTCAATTTGCAGGAAGTTTTAGTGACTAACATAATAAAAACAATCAATGACTGTGAAACACGAATCCCCAAGTATCTCTCCCCTCATGCCCTTTGAATTAATAACCACTTTATGGCTTAGGGTCCTCCTGTCTTCCTTTCTCACCCCTCTACTCCTTCCTCCATCCATTTCTTTCTTTCTTTTTTTTTTTGAAATGGAGCCTTACTCTGTTGCCAGGCTGGAGTACAGTGGGGCATTCTGGGCTCACTGCAGCCTCCAACTCCCTGGTTCAAGCGATTCTCCTGCCTCAGTTTCCTGAGTAGCTGAGATTACAGGCATGCACCACCATGCCCAGCTAATTTTAGAAGAGATGAGGTTTTATCATATTGTCCAGGATGGTCTCAATCCCCTGACCTCGTGATCTGCCCACCTCGGCCTCCCAAACTGCTGGGATTACAGGTGTGAGCCACCGCACCCAGCCTCCATCCACTTCTTGAAGTATAATCGAAGGTGCAGCGGCGATTCCCTGTGGCCTGAAATATTTCTTGCTTAGTCTAACTCAAAAGATTCTTTTTCATTTGTTGCCAAAAATGTATTAGGTCCCTATTACTGGTAGGGAAATAAAGAGTTACTTTTGAGTTTATAATCCAGTTATGGGAATTGCTATCTTTGTGATTTTGATTAATTCTTCCAGATTATTTTATTCAGTAAATCTAGGAGACTCTTGTTTTTAAGAGTCAGCATCTAAAAGTGATGACAAGCCTTGTAATGAATACTCAAAGCCTAGACCAGTCCACAGAAAGAATAGGGAAAACCTAACATTTCTATGGCAGTTAAATTTCAATATAAAAATCTGCAACAGTCTACTTACAGTAGTATTTTAAGTGTTGTATTTTCATGAGTTTGTTAACCTTGGTTTTTTGTTTTTGTTTAACACCCTTGCATTTTAAATCAGGTGCAGCTATTGCTGGAGTTTACCGAGCAGCAGGGAAGGAAATGATACCATTTGAAGCCCTCACTTTTGGCACTGGACAGACATTTTGCGTCGTGGTGGTCTCCTTTTTACGGATTTTAGCTACTCTATAGCATACATCCTTATGCCGAGATGTTGAACCTAAACTTTATGGAATCCTCCAAAAGAATACATTAGGGAGTGTAGAGTTTTCTTAGTTCTTCAAATGAAGCAACTTGAATGAACGGGAATGTGAAGGACAACATCTTAGCCTTTTCTTCAGTTTGAAGTTCCTAGAATTGAAGACTTTTGTGGACTCCCATCGTTCTCAACCAAAACAAAACAAGTCTTCTGGCTTTCTTTTTTGAAGATACTTAATTTAAGCAGTTTTCACATGTACCTTTACCCAAGTCAAGTCAACTGTGTCTCTGGGATGGTATCCCTTGCACTGAAATTTACAGTATGCTGTGAGATGTTGCATATTTTAGAAAACTATGGAAGATACTGGTTTATTTCAAATAAGCAGAGTATGTTGTATTAAAATCTTAGTTTATCCAGTCTTGGTTAGTATTTGGTAAACTCTTTTCTTTGCTACATCTTAGTGACTGACAGTAAATGCCAAATAGGTTTTGGTTGAGTATAGCTTTGAAAACAAATTTGATGAAATAAAACAGGAAAAAAAAATTTAAATACAACTCAAGTAGTGGCTGTGGTTCCACTAAGTAAAAAGTAGGTAACAATGAATAATGTGACATTTTCTGGACAACTATCTTGACCTCCAATTAAGATATTTTAAGAGATGTGAATTTGTTATTTTGTATGTTTTATTTAAATAAGCTAGATAATTTAGACTTTGTAGAAGATTTTCTGTACTACCTCTCCCTATCACTTTTAATTCTTTTGATTTTATTTCATTTAATTGGGAACACACATACCCTAGCAAATGGCTTGAGATGGAAATTTTAAGCCAGATTGGTTTGGACATTGAGGCACAGGTAAGATTCTTTAAACATTCTGTTGTAGTTTTTCTTAGTAACTTTTGTTTACTAATGACCCTTGAGACACTGTAGAAGTGCATCTGAAACTAGAGTTAGTGGTTATTGATTTTTTAGCTTAATGTGTTTGCATACGGGTGACTCTTGAGCCTACTTCTACAGTATTGGGTATCAAGTCCCAGAAAGTGCCTGAAGTTTAATTTCAGAGATGCACCCACTCTCCCCTTTAGATTTTTATTCAAAAGAATGTATATCTTTGGCCGGGCACGGTGGCTCAAGCCTGTAATCCCAGCACTTTGAGAGGCCGAAGCGGGTGGATCACGAGGTCAAGAGATCGAGACCATCCTGGTCAACATGGTGCAACCCCGTCTCTACTAAAAATACAAAAAATTAGCTGGGCATGGTGGTGCATGCCTGTAATCCCAGCTACTCAGGAGGCTGAGGCAGGAGAATTGCCTGAACCCAGGAGGCGGAGGTTGCGGTGAGCCGAGATCGCGCCATTGCTCTCCAGCCTGGGCAACATGAGTGAAACTCCGTCTCAAAAAAAAAAAAAAAAAGAATGTATATCTTTAAAGAGAGTTAAATATCAATAATTTTTTTAAATTTAATTTTTAGCTATTTTATTATCTTTTTGAGATGGAGCCTTCACTCTGTCGCCCAGACTGGAGTGCAGTGGCACAATCTTGGCTCACTACAACCTCCGCCTCCCAGGTTCAAGTGATTCTCCTGCCTCAGCCTCCTAAGTAGCTGGGAGTACAGGCACCTGCTGCCATGCCCGGCTAATTTTTGTATTTAGTAAAGACGGGGTTTTGCCACGTTGGCCAGGCTGGTCTCGAACTCCTGACCTCAGGTGAGCCACCTGCGTTGGCCTCCCAAAGTGCTGGGATTACAGGCGTGAGCCACTGCCCAGCCAATTTCAGCTATTTTAATTTTTATTTTACTGCCTAACTTTCTTTTTCATTAAAAGGCCTGAAAACTGTGACTTTCTGAAAGGGAAAGGATCACAGAAATTGAGTATCTAATTTGATCCTTACCACCTAAACTGTTTTCTGTTGAATACAATCAGTGTGGTGGTAGTGATTGTTATCTGTCTTCAGGATAGTTTCTGGTAATTAAATCTGACATCTTTAGAGAAAAGTTTTCATTGTGAGATTAAGGCTAACAACTTATGAGGTCATATGTACATGAACATATCTATTCCATTTAAAGCAATATGCACTCTGGCTTCTGATTAAAAATAGCCAGGAGGAGAGTCTGAATGTACTGTGATTCTGGAGTCTGCCCAATTTGAGAAAAAAAAGGAAAAAGGAGGACCAGTTTGCCAGGGAAACTCATAGAAAAGAATTACAAAGAGATCACAAAAATTGGACATTTTCTTTTGAGTAATTAGACCACTTATGGCTGGGAGCGGTGGCTCACACCTGTAATCCCAGCACTTTGGGAGATCGATTTGGGAGAATTGCTTGAGCCCAAGAGTTCAAGACTGGCCTGGGCAACATAGCAATACTTCATCTCTTCTAAAAAATAAAACAAAACAAAAAAATAGCTAGGTGTGGTCCCAGCTACTGAGGAGGCTAAAGTGGGAGGATCTCTTGTTCCTGGGAGGTTCAGGCTGCTGTGAGCCATGAAAACGCAACTGAACTCCCAGCTTAGGTGACAGGGCAAGACCCTGTCTCAATATTATTAATTTTGATAATTCACATATCAAAATTATAGTGACATATACTCAGCAGAAACTTATATGTAGAGTTGTAATTCAGCCGCATAGTCTTACAAATTCCCCAACAAGAAGCTCAAATCTTTTCTTCCAAGCAGATTGCAAAAAATTCTAGTTTTTAGTTTAAAAAGCTGTGATTTTCAGAAGCATCCGTTCATTTTGAGAAATTTGGGGAATCTGTATCTTTTATTATGGGAAATGATTTCCATCATCTCTATTGATGAATGCCTCTTACTGAAGAATGCCTGTTGAATGAGTTCTCACCTAAAACATTCTTTGGATATAATTTCATACACTAACCATGTGGGCCAGTAGTTAGTGCGCCCCTCCCCTTAAATACTAATTTTTGAAATACCGATCCATGATTAAAATGTTAGATATTTTTCACTGGAGCTAAGTCATAAAGTTAGGGCATTTTGAAAGGTGTCTTTGTTTCTGTTTCTTGTTTGATATATTTTGATTACTCTTTTTAAAAACTTTCCATATAAAAAGTATCTTCAAATTATTGAATGCTACATACATATACATCCCAATATATGAAGCATGCTCTTGTGAATAAATATATATATAGACTTGAAATAGATTGAGCTGTGTAGCTTAATCTTTTCAGAGAAAGACTATTTGAATGATAAGGAATATCTTTGATTTTCTTTTTTTATGTCTCAAATAGAGAATTATTTGGGAGTGGTCGGTCACTCAGATGGAAGAATATCAGCAATTGTGTTGAACATTTTACCTTACATAGTTTTGAGTCTTTTTGCCAAAAACTGATTTCTTAGCAGCATCCTCCTCTAGCTATGCTTTAAAAAAAAAAAAATAAAGGAGAAGGAGGCAGCCTCCCGACCATAAAAGCTGATTTCTTGTTTTTTGTTTGTTTGTTTTTTGGGTTTTTTTTTTGAGATAGAGTCTTGCTCTGTTGCCCAGGCTGGAGTCCGGTGGCATGGTCTTACCTCACTGCAACCTCCACCTCCCAAGTTCAAGTGATTCTCCTGCCTCAGCCTACAAGTAGCCAGGAATACAGACACCCACCATAATGCCCAGCTAATTTTGGTATTTTTAGTAGAGATGAGGTTTCACCATGTGCCAGGCTGGTCTCGAACTCCTGACCTCATGTAATCCACCCACCTCGGCCTCCCAAAGTGCTGTGATTACAGATGTGAGCCACCATACCCGGCCTTCTTGATTCTTGAATTTGTGGTTTTGTAGTGAAAGCATTTCATGAAACTTAAGTGCATACACAAGAGCATCATGAATTTCTAAGAGAGAGGTGTCTCTTTGTGCTATTAACTTTTTTTTTTTTTGCCACAAAATATTATTCCTTATGAAATGATTAAACTAGCGAGGAAAATTTCATTAATTACCTTTAAACCCTTCCTTATTTTTTAAGATTTTAAATTGTATTTCGGCTTTTGACTCCAGTATCCTTTCTGGTTGCTCTGTTTTGAATTACGTTCCTGTTATGCTGCAGCACACATCAACCTTCCCTCAGTAACCATTTCCTGGAATGTGAAGCCTCGGTGCCATCAGCAGACCATACGCAGAAAATGTTGTGTGCCTGCGTTTCTTTTTTGTGCACTCTTGAGGGCTGGTTGTGACTAAAATCAGCTTAACTTTTTATATTGTGTTATTTCACTAACCGCTAGAGTCACAATGATCAAATCTTTGTACAATAGAAAATTATTTAAATTTTATTTTTCTACTGACATTTCTAATTCTAGTGTAAATATTTATCAATAAAAAATTACTTTGAATTCTGAGTTGGAATTATATTTCTTTTTCGGTGGCCGATGAGTTTAATCATTTGTAATAAAGTTGTCTGACTTCAGTTTTCATTTTTTGAATAACTTAATATCTAACGTGTAACTGTTTCTTTTATGTTCAACTTCTTATTAATTTATGGCAAAATTATAGTTCAAAGTTGTGATTAAATTGTACTTTTATGTGAACTGGAAAATCTTAGTAACTCCACTTGCTGGGTCGTATATTGCCATCTAGAAGCTTTTGTATGATTCTACACGGAGATAGGTGAATATTGATACAGTGTGTGAAAATTTATTTTAATAGTCTGCATGAAGAGAAGCTTCAAGTGTGGTTAATTTAATACCCTTGGTGACATCATAAATCTCTCTGTTCTGCTGTTTTCAACCAATGGGACTGTCTAGGTTGGGTAGTTTACCTCATGGTCACAAGATTGCTACCGTTCCAGCCATTGCAGACACATACAGTGAATGTCTGGCAGGAGACTGCCCATCCATTCCTTTGTTCTAATTTTCTAAAATTGAGGTTTACCATGCAGTAAAGTATACAAACCTTAAGATGTATAGCTTAATGAATGAGTAACAGATCAAGGGGGACAGAATGTTTCTAGCACTCCAGAAACACACAGGCAGAGTTCAGCCAGAAGCCCCCAAGACTGTGTACGTATCTGGGACCCAAAAGGGGAGGAACTTTGTTTTCAAAAAACAGTGATAACCCAAGGTTGGACAGTGGAAAGAGACAGTGGAAGATGTGGTACAAAGGTACCGAGATTGACAGGGAAGACACTTTACTGCCAAGAAAACAGAAGAGTGAGCCAGAAATCAATCTTTAGGGATGGGGAGGGATGAGCGCTGTTGGAAGGAGTCAGCTACTGCTTGGCTGTAGCCTGTTTCTGCTTTGTTCAGTGATTAACCCAATCTTGCTAGATAATCATTTTTCAAGAGAAGTTGGAAATCTAAGTTACTGTTTGAAATCTCTCCATTTCTTTTTCTTTTTTTTTTCTGATCAAGAGCATATCACAAAGAATGACATCTTTCCATTTTTAAGTGCTAGCAACTAAACTTGTGTTAAACACTTTTTTTTTTTAGCCAGAGTCTCGCTCTGTTGCCCAGACTAGAGTACAGTGGTGAGATCATAGCTCACTGCAACCTTCACCTCCCGGGTTCAAGCGATTCTTATGCCTCAGCCTCCCGGGTAGCTGGGACTACAGGCATGTGCCCCA